GAATTAGGTTTTGTATTAGTACTATGGCTAGGGTTAGGGTAATTGTTAGGGTTAAATTCAGGGATAGGGTTAGGGTTGCCTTTGGGCCTAGCAATCCACATTCCTTCTGGCATTCAGCACTTCAAGCCTCCTTCCTTCACGAGTTCAGCTCAGCAGCTCCAGTTTCTTCTGGCTTTGTGCTGATTAAGCCCATTCTATCTGTGTTTCTGTCCAGTGAGACCCAATCCTTCTCGGTTTCTGTCCAACAATGCCTATAACACTACCCTAACCCTAACCCAAAAACTAACTTAAACCATAACCCTAAGCCTAACTCTAAACCTAATACTAACCCTAAACCTAAACACAACTCTTTTCCTCCCCTTACACTAACAAAACCCAAACCCTGAATCAAACGCTAGCCCTGATTGCAACTCTAAACCTTACTCATGATATAAACACTAACAGTAAAAACCTAAAACTAACCCTAACGCGAACCCTAACCCTAATGCTACCATAACCCTAACCTTAACACTAACCCTAAAGCAAAAGCTATCCCTAATTGTGACACTACACCTAACCCTATACAATATCTAAGCTCTAAACCTGACTCAAACCCTATACCTAAAAGTAACCCCAACATGTAGCAAATATAAACCTAATCCTATCCCTAAACCTTAACCTAACCCTAACACATTTATCCGAACCTTAACACAAATGCTGTATTTACCCCTACCTCTAACCCAAACACTAACCCTAATCCTAACCTTAACCTATATGCTAACTCTCGCCCTAAACCCAACCTTACTCTAACCCTAATCCTGTCCCTAAACTTAACAGTAAAACTAACCCTAACCCTAAACCTTACACTCGACCTTATCTTAATCCTAACCCTAACCCTACCCTAGCCCAAACCGTAAACCCAAGCCTAATTGTGAAACTTAACCTTACCTAAACCCTAACACTAACCTTACCCTAGCCACTAACCAAGTCCAACAAGACCCCTTCCTTTTGATTTGTGGCCCAACACACCCCCTTTCTTCTGGATTTTGGCCCAGCATGCCCCCTTCCTTCAGGGTAAGGGTCCAGGAAGCCCTCTTCCTACTGAGTACGGGAACAGCAAGCCCCCTACACTCTGTGTATTGACCCAGCAAGTCCCCTTCCTTCTGCGTTTCGCACAAGAAAGCCCCATTCCTTCTTACTTTTGGCCCATCAAGCTCCATCTCTTTTGGGTTTTGGCTCAGCAAGCGCCCTCCCTTCTGCGTTAGCCCACTTCCATCTGCCACAGGGCCCAGCAAGTCACACACACTTTAAAACATCAGTTCTGTGGCAGACAGAGTAAACAGTCCAGCAAGAGGAGGTATAGAAGGGTTTCTCCTGGAGGAATAATTAACTACAGGAGGTAGAGTTGGTTGGTTTGGTTTTTCATTGTGTGTGAGCAAAAAAGATGAACGTGACCTCATGGCAATCTTAAGTAACATGGAAACGGGAAAATCCGCTCAGGTATTCTGAACTGTTCATGGGACATGACAGCCATTTTCTTCAATGCTGCTACATATGCAGTAATGAACAGAAGAATGAAAATTAAGGCATTTGCCTTCATCTTAATGGCACTGTATGTGCCACCTCTCTGCAGAACTGTGGCACAGACAGCACAGGAGTACCAGAGAACTGCAGAATAACAGCTAATTCATGAAGACTGCATAAAAAATTATTTGCCTCTTCCCATACACAAAGAAATGCTGGCCAGGGCTCAAGGAGGAACCAAGGAAGTTTGTGTACCACGTATCCAGAAAGTTATCAGTTCACAGAACTGGACTATCAACACTTTGATTACCCATGCTTTACATGATGTTATGATGTGGAATGCTGATAACAAAGTCATAAAACTGTGTCGCCAGCTCCCTCAGCTGCTCCTCGTAAGACCTGTGCTCCACAGCGCAGCTCTGCTGCCTTCCTCTGGACACGCTCCAGCATCTCAGCGTCTTGTAGTGAAGGACTCAACACTGAGCACAGTACTCAAGGTGCGGCTTCATCAGCACTCAGTACAGAGGGAAGATCACCTCCCTGCCCCTACTGACACCAGTTTCTGACACAACCAGGATGCCACTGGCCTTCTTGGCCACCTGGGCACGCTGCTGCCTCATGTTCAGCCAAGTGTCGACCAACACCCCCAAGTTTCTTCCACACAATCTTCTATTTACTGTGCCCCAAGCCTGTAGCATTGCCCGGGGTGGCTGTGGCCAAAACGCAGAACACAGTATGCGGTCTTGTTGCTTCAGCCTAGCAATCAGCCTGTCCAGATCCCTCTGTAGGGCCTCGCTACCACCAGGCAGATTGACACTCCCTTCCACCTTGGTGTCATCTGCAAACCTACTGAGAGTGCACTCAGTGCCCTCGTCCAGGTCATCAGTAAAGATATTGAACAGGACGGGCCCCACTACCGACCCCTGTGGAACACCACTGTGACCAGCTGACAGCTGGATGTGACTCCATTCACCACCGTGCTCTGGGCCCAGCTCTCCAGACACTTCTTTACCCAGCAAAGAGTGTACCTGCCCAGGACATGGGCTGCAGCTTCTCCAAGAGAATGCTGTGTTAGACAGCGCTAAAGGCATATCTGAAGTCTGGGCAGATTACATCAACAGCCTTTCCCTCATCCACCAGGTGGGTCACCCACTCATAGAAGGAGATGAGGTTGGCCAGGCAGGATCTGCTTTTAGTGAGCTTACGCTGTCCGGGCCCAATCCCAGGGATGGCCCACACGTGATTCCACTCAAGACAATCTGCTCCATGACCTTCTCCATACCAAGGCCAGGCTGATGGGCCTGTAGTTTCCCCATCTCTCTTCCAACTCTTCTTGCATATGGGCATCGCTTTAGAAAGTCTCCAGCTGTCTGGGACCTGGGAGCTCCCTGGTTGACCAGGACTGCTGGTAAACACTGGAAAGCAACATGGCAATCACTTCCATCAGCTCCCTCAGTGCCCTCAGGTGGATGCCATCAGCCGCACGGATTTGTGGCAGACAGGTGGAATAGCAGCTCACAAACTGTTTCCTCCAGAATTCTGGGGGTTTTGGTTATGGTCTGGCTTACATATTTGGGTTGAGGGTAAATGGTTTTCCTTTAGAGTTAGGATCTTTTGGGTTAAGATTAAGGGTTACACTTTTGGGTTAAGGTTAAAGGTTAAGAGTTATCCATTTGGGTTGAGGCTTCAGGGTGAACATTTTGGTTTGGATTTAAAGGTTAAAGATTACCTTTTTTGGTTTAGCATTCAGGATTACCCTTTTGTGTTAGGGTTAAGGGTTAAGAATACTGTGCCCTAGAACTGACAGGCTGGACCATAAAACTTAGGGCATCAGCAGGAAAATCCAAATTTTGAGAGATCCAAAGCTGTGATCCTTCAAAATGGATATTTGGACCCCAAACCAAAGCTTTAGGCCCTAAAATTCAGGCCTTAGCCCCTAAAATGAGGCTTGGAGCTCTACAAAGAAGGATACAACTTGTCAGTGAGTCTTTGGATCCCCAAGAGGAGGCTTTGTGGTGTGAGAGCTGATAAAAAGTGGCCTTGTATCCTCAGTGGAGGCTCTGAGTCCTGAAAACAAGGACTTGGAGCCCAACACTGAGGCTCTGGTCTTCCAAAAAGACACTTTTGATCCCGCTACTATATTTTCTAGATACAAAAAGAATTCTAGAACTTTAAGAGAGTTTGTGCCGTAAAAATGAAGGTTGGTACCTCCAAATAAGGCCGTGGAGCCTGAAATGAGGCTTTGGGCTCCAAGAATGGTTGTTTGCTTTTTTAATTATTATTTATTTATTTTTATTTATTTATTTTCTTATTTTTTAGCCTAAAACTGAGGCTCTGACCCTGAATGAAAAGAAAATGGGTCAGGAACCTGAAATTGTAAGGGTTTTTTACATCCTGGAAACGAAATCTCAGAGTTCAAACCTCAGACTCTGGGCCCTGAGAATGATTCTTTATGCCATAAACAGCTGCTGTGCATCCTAAGTGATCTGAAGAAACGAAGCTTAGCCAAGTTTAGTTACTGTTCAGTCAGGTATTCTTTCTTAGTGACACCAGGAAGCACTGGGGATATTTCCACCACAAATGCTCAAAGATGACATGATTCAGAGCCCGTTATATTTCCACAGATAGTACATATTCATCAGTTATCTGTGAGAGAATTAACATATATACACACCTGTCTCAGGCTGTGATTTATGAGGTTTCCAGACTTCTATTCCAGGGTCTCCTCTACTATCTAGCAGCCATTTAGCATCACATTCGCTTTTTCCTCCATCCAGGGGTCTTTTTCACTCACCCTGCAGATGAACTTCCTCCACTGACTCACACCCAGTGGGAAGGTGCCTATTATGAGTTATTTACAGGTACCAGAACCATAACATTTGCTCACTGAGCACTCGGCCGTGATTTCTGGACATGAGCTCATCCTTGGTCAGAGGCAACAACCTGACAACCTGTCTTTTAATGATAGTGCTGGAACCTAAGTGTTGGTGTTGGAAGATGAGGATGGAGGGGAGTACCTTGACACCTGCCTGTTGTGTTCCAGCCTACCCCCACAGTGAGGCAATTTGGCCTTGCGTGGATGCCCTGGCTTCTTTTCATGAGTGATAAGCCTACTCGCATCATTTCGTTATTGTGCTTCTTTTGCTGAAGCTCTCTTGTTAAAACAGAATAGCCTTGTAACACGCTTTCTAGTCTACAATGCATCCATAACTTCGCAACATCTCAAAGCTATCACAGTTTTGCAAGCAAAAGCTGATCACACAACAATTCAACAGCTGTATTTCTACGAATAGTAAAAACACGGTGTATTTACTTCTTCACATCGTTAAGGAAGAGACACGGCGCTAAAACGGTGACAGAGCGCCTCCCCACGCCAGCCCGGCGCCCTGCTCCGCAGCGGGGCTCAGCAGCGCCGAGCCGGCGGCCCAGCATCCCGGGGCCCGGAGGAGGCGGCGCTGCGGAGGCGGGGCGGCGCCGGGGCCACGTGCGGCGGCAGCATGGCGGCGACGGGACGGCGGGCGAGAGCGGCGCGCGGGGTCGCGGCGGGGCGGCGCCGGCGGCCGCGGGTGGAGGTGAGCGCGGGGCCGGTTCCGACGGGCCGGTTCCCTGCGCGGCGTGGCGCTGACGGTGCCGGCGCGTCTCCCCAGGGCCCGGGCGCCGAAGGGAAGCCCCGGCCGGCACCGCTCCGGAGCCGCGACGAGGAGGTGTCCAGCGAAGAGGAGGCGGAGAGGTGAGCGCTGCTCCCGGGGCTCCCGGGGCTCCCGCGGCTCGGCGCGGAGCTGACGCGACTCCGGCAGTGCGGCGGCGGGGCGGCGGCGGGAGGAGGCGGCGGCCGAGGAGGAGCTGGAGGAGACGCCGCAGGAGAAGAAGCTGCGCCTGGCCAAGCTGTACCTGGAGGAGCTGCGGCGGCACGGTGAGCGCGGGAGGCGGCGGCGGCGGCGGGGCGGGTGGCGGCGGCGGGGCGGCCCTGAATCCCGCACCTATCGCAGAGGAGGAGCGGGCGGAGGAGGAGGAGGAGGAAGCCGCGGGTTTCCCTGGGGATCTCGTCGGCGAGCGCCTGAAGGAGGCCGTGGTGAGTGGGGGGGGGACGGCGCGGCGGTGGGGCGACCTCGGGGCCCTCCCTTAACCCGCTGTGCTCCCCCAGCTCGAGCAGCAGGGCCGGCTGCGACGCCCCGCGGCCCAGGACGTGAGTATACGTGCGGCCCGTAGGGCACCGCTGCCAGATCGCGGCCGGGACGAGCCGGCGCCGTCCCGCTCACGGCCCGGTCCCGCTAGGTGTGCCCTCCGGCCGCTGCCGCCATCCGAGTGCTGCGGGGCCACCAGCATTCTGTCACCTGCCTCGTCGTCTCTCCGGATGACAAGTTCATCTTTTCGGCTGCTAAGGATGGCTCCGTCATCAAATGCAAGTGCTTCCCTTCTCTTGCCTGCTGCGCTCAGCCTCGCTGCCATGGGAGCCTGGCGGGAGCGGGGCTGTGGGTGGAGGTGGATCTGCCCATCTCTTGCATGGAAGTGGCTGCAGTGCACAAGAGCTGGGCTTGTTTAGCCGGGAGAAGACTTTAGGGAGACCCTGTTGTGGCCACCCAGGATTTAAAGGGAGTTTGTAAACAGGGAGAGCGACTTTTCACGTGGGCGGATGGTGATAGGGCATGGTGTTGGTTTTACACTAAAAGAGGAGAAATATGGGTTACACGTGAGGAGGAAATCCTTTTCTCAGAGGATGGTGAGGCCCTGGCACAGCCTGCCCAGAGAAGCTGTGAGTGCCCCTCTCTTGGAGGTGCTCACAGCCAGGCTGGATGGGGCTCTGGGCAGCCAGATCTGGTGGAGGGCAGCCAGCCTACATCAGGGGAGTAGGAACCAGATGGTCTTTAAGGCTTTTTCTAAGCTGTTCTATGATTGGCCTCTGGGCAGGGCGGGTTGCATTGCTCTGGGCTTTGTGCACAGCTCACAGCTCATTCGTGCTTCCTGGGGCAAGGGAGGCTCCTGTGGGTGATGGTATTGCTTGTCCTGCAGGGGAAGTGGAGAGTGGGAAGAGACTCTGCGTGGTGCCTGGGGGCAAGAAAGGCACAGAGGGGCAGCCCATGGGGCACACGGCCCACGTTCTCTGCATTGCCATCTCATCGGACGGCAAATACCTGGTACGGTGACTGGGTGCTGGTGCTGCCCCATGGTGCCTCACGCTGTCACCAATAGCTCTTGGCTGTTCCCATATAGTCATGAACCTCTGAAAGAGGAGGCCAGGTGGGGAGATGTGTCTTTTTCCAGGATTCTGGAGAACAGCTCCTAACACCCAGCTTATCTTGCTGGTGAAGCTGGGTTGAAGCAGTCCCTGCTTCAGCCATCATCAGGAGTGTTCTTGGACATGCCCCCCCAGCAAAACACATGGAGTGGGAGTTGTGGGTCTGCTGGGGTAGGTGTTGGGCATCCCCTCCTTTCTGCCAGGCTACAGGAGACAGGAGCAAGCTGATTCTGATCTGGGAGGCAGCCACCTGCAAGCGTCTTTATACGTTCACTGGTCATCGTGATGCCGTGTCGGTGAGTAAGGATGTTGGCTGAAATAGGGAGGAAGGCTCCCACCTCTGGTGGGCAGTGCATGCCACGTCCTCTTGGTACCTGGGACCAGTGGGGCCTCCCTGCAGTGGAGGCCCAGCTCTCAGACTGCCCTTGGGGACACTTGGGCAGGGCACTGTTTCATCTGTTGGTCTGTCCCTCCACAGGGCCTGTCTTTCCGGAAGGGCACGTACCAGCTGTACAGTGCATCCCATGACCGCTCCGTCAAGGTCTGGAATGTGGAGGAGAATGCTTATGTGGAGACCCTGTAAGACCCTGGTGAAGAGAGGTTTTGTCACTGTATCCCCAAGCAAAGGGAGGAGTGAGGGTGCGGTGGGGTCGTGGCCCCTGCAGCTCCTTCTCATCTCCCCTGCCAGCTTTGGGCACCAGGACATCATCACAGGGATGGACAGCCTGAGTCGGGAGTGCTGTGTTACCTCAGGGGGACGAGATGGCACTGTGCGTTTCTGGAAGATCCCCGAGGAGTCACAGCTCATTTTCTATGGGCATCAGTAGGTCTGGGGCAGAAGGGGGTGTGCTTCTGCTGGCGGTTCCAGCAAAGCTTCTGTATGTGCTCAGCATCACCAGGAGCCTGTCAGTACTGTGGGGATTCTGTCAAGCCTTTTGTGGGGATTTTGTCAAGCCTGGAGCTCTGTGCCCTACAGGATTCCACAATATGCTCATGGTTACTGTTAATTGTCTGCTCTTGCAGGGGCTCCATCGATTGCATCCAGCTCATCAATGAGGAGCACATGGTGTCAGGTGCTGATGATGGGTGAGTGCAGGGCTGGGATTGTGCACAGCTTTGCCAATCCTTGTGCCTCCAGCGCCTTCAGCCCCTTCCCTGCAGGTCAGTGGCCCTGTGGGGGCTGGCGAAGAAGAAGCCACTGGCACTGGTGAGGCAGTCGCACGGGACGCAGGGCGCTGCCCAGGACCTGCAGCAGCCGTACTGGGTATCTGCAGTGGCCGCCTTGCTCAACAGTGACCTTGTGGCTACAGGTGCCTGGTGCTGGGAGAGCTGTGTTCTCTTCTGGCAGTGCTTCTGGCAGGTTTGGGGTCCTGTGCTTTTGCTGGTGCTAGGGTGTGTGCCCTCTTTGCTCCAGGTTCCCACAGTGGCTGTGTGAAGTTGTGGAAGTGCGGCGAGGGATTTCAGAAGCTGGAGCCCCTCTGTGATATCCCATTGGTACAGATAGGGGGTGCTGGAGCTGGGGGGAGGCCCTTGCCAAGCTCCCCAGGGTGGGAGCAGGCCTGGGGCAGTTGCAGTGCGCTGGTGCTGACACCTCTGCTATTTCCTCCAGATTGGCTTTGTCAACAGCCTGAAGTTCTCGTCAACGGGAGACTTCCTGGTGGCTGGCATTGGGCAGGAGCACCGGTACCATTCCCAGGCCCCCTTTTCCAGGGCTTAGACCTTCCCTACTAGCGCCTGGCTGGACCAGGAAGGGATGGAGGTGACACTCTTTTCACCTGCAGGTTGGGCCGATGGTGGAGAGTAAAAGAAGCCAAGAACTCCATCTGCATCATTCCTCTTAAATGTAGAGCGGGAGCCCCTGGTCCCCCGGCAGCTGATTGCGCGTAGCCTCCAAGCACTACCCCAAGAGCTACAGGAACTGGATCATTAAAGCCTGTGTAATACAGATACAACAGCTCCAGTGTTGTCAGTGCTGCTTGGGGCTGCAGCGGTGCATCTACCCCTAAGGGCCCTGCCTGGATACGCACTGTGCCCTTCTTGAGGTTCAGGCAGACCTGGGATCAGGCAGAGAGTGTTATAAAAACAATGAACAAAAATCGCTTACATACGTTACCAGAAACAAACAAAACCCACAATTTTGGGTACAGAAAAAGATTACTTTTAAAGGGGGTAGGACTTATCTGCTGTGGCCCTGTTCTTCAGCTGTGATCTGAGCCTCTGCACAGGTACTGCTGGGATCAGCAGTGCCCTGAGGCATGGAGCAGGTGTTTGCAGTTGGGCTCTTGTCCTGCTGCCATGGGAGCAGGGATGTAGAGGGGCCTCTGGTTCCTGCTTTCCAGGTTCCCCAGGGATAAGGCAATGGATGGGATCCTTGCATACCCAGGAGTAAAAACGAGAAGGAGGATGGAGCTGCCAAAGGTGCAGCCCCCTCTAATCAGGGTTGGCTGCAGATGTCTTGGGAAAGTTGATTTGTGGCATGGATCAGCACAAGGGAAATGTGAAATCAGAGAATGCGAAGGAGAAAGTGGTGTGAGGAAGAGCAGTGTGCTCCCAGATTATCTCTGCACGGAGGAGGCAGATGGTGGGACACAGAGCAGGTGCTGCACGGCGGATAAGCATGGCTGACCTGGTTTGCGCAGCCCCCAGGCTTGAGCTGTTGCTTTTTGGGAGGAGGGGCAGGCAGGCTAGAGCACAACCTTTCCATAGCCATCACAAGGGTGATGATGTGGAGTCTGCTGATTAGTAGCTATTGCACGCTGTTGGCCTGCACTTCAAGGCCAGGCCTGGTGGGGAAGGCAGATGTTAAAAGTGTGGGGGTTCAGCACTTCAGCATACGGCTTTAGAATTTAAAGGTGGGGCATTGGACTCCCCTGTTTAGGGGCCGCTGGATACCAAAATGATGCTTTGATCCCTCAAAATGGGTATTTGGACCATAAAAGGAGGCTCTGAGCTCTAATTTTCAGGCCTTGTCTGATAGAATGGGGATTAGGGAACTTAAAAAGATGGGTCTTTTCTCTTTGGACCCTAAAAAGGTGGCTTTGCTGCTTGGGGCCTAAAAATTAGACATTACGATCTGAGAATGACAGCCTGGGCTGTAGAGCTGTTATCAATCAATATCAGAGCTGAGTGTAAGCAAAGTGACGACAGCTTTTGGTTCAGCATGGAGTCTCGGGGTCCTGACAGCACGAGTTTGGTCACTAAGAGCTGAGGGTCCAGCCGAGCAAAGGATTTGCTATTGCAGATAGAGGCTGGAGACCCGAAAGCAAAGTTTGGAATCTGGAAATGAGACATGGTAAAAACCATGGAAAAGAAAGAGCTTCGGGAGCCTGGGAATGGGGTATCTGGACCCTAAAATAGACCTGATGACGCTGAAAAGGATTTTTTGTAAAGGCGTCAGGGAGGCTCAGAGCAAGCCGTGACCCACAGCCGCTTTGCGCTCCTTTGCCGCTGCCCCGCCCAGCCGCGAGGAGGCGTAGTGGGACCTCCCTGCCGCCGGAGGGCGCTCCACCGCGCGCCTGCGACCGCGCGCAGCTCCGTTACTACGGGGGCGGGAAGGAGCCGAAAACAAACGTCAGCGCGCGGGAGGGCGGCATGGCTGCTGGCGGAGCGGTGAGGGCTCGGTTGACGCGCTGCCGGTCCGGGAGTTCGGCGTCCGGAGAGCCGCTGAGGCCCGGTCGGAAGCGCTTTGGTGGTGGGCAGGAGCAGCTCTGGTTGCGTGGGGCCTTAGCGCTGCCGAGGCTGGGCTGCGTGACGGGGCAGGGATCGGGTGGCGCTTAGGTGTGAGCGCGGTCAGGAGGCGGGGGCTGCGTGTGTGGGAGCAGGGCTTGGGGGCCGGGGGACCGTTTGTGTGGACCGGTGGAATGTTTTTATTGCGTGAAGATGACTCTTAGTCTGTCTTGTCTGAACATTATTGTTTTCTAGGATGATCCGTCCCTGGAGAGGCATTTCAAAGGCCACAGAGATGCCATCACTAGTGTGGACTTCAGTCTCAATAAGAAACAATTGGGTAAATCATCATCTCTCTGTATTTTGATGGCCTGCTGATAAAAAAAAGGATTTCTCTTCTTAAGTTATACGAAACTATGGAGGTCCTGAATTCTAAAAGAATTAAGAATTCATTTTTACAGTGAAAAGATTGGTGAGTGTTGGGACGAGTGTTTTACGTACGACTGGAAGAATTGCAGAAGTGCAGAGTGGTTGAGGTTGGAAGGGACCTGTGGAGTTTGTCGGGTCCAATCTCCTAACTGCTGGGTTCCTGAGAGCACGTTACCCAGGACTGTATACATATGGCTTTTAAGCATCTCCAGGGAGAGATTCCACAGCCTTTCTAGGCAACCTGTTCCAGTGCTGAGTCACCCTCTCTGGGAAGAAGTTCTTCCTCATCTTCATTTGCAACTTCCTATCCGCAAACTTTCTGTTTGTTCCCAGTGCCTCTTGTCCTGTTTTTGAACCAGGGTGACAGGCTGTGAGCGTCCTGTTGGAGCTTTAGGAATGTCTGCTGCTGCCTAAAGCTACCTTGCTTTGTGGTGCAGTAATTAAAAAATTACAAATTAAAACTGGTTTTTATTTTTTTTTTTTTCTGCTCTGCATAAGTGTTTTTCTTCTTCCATCTTCTGTTTCTCCTGGTTTGGCATTTGCCTGTGGTTACATCAAGGCTTGCGTCACAGCTGCTGTTAGTTAACTTGCTGTGTATTCTTGGATCAGGAACCAGCAGAAGTTTTGGCTCTTGATGAAGCTGTGGTTTGGTCTGTGGGAATGTTGGTTTGGTTCACAAGGAAGATCAGGCAGAAGCAGTCTTTGGAGGCAGTGTGTCTGATGGGCTGTGGATACAGACACGAGTAAACAGAAATAAAGCAGTCTAGCAAGTGTTGTAAATTGTCATAGTCCTGTTCTGTGTCTTACAACCTGCAGCACTGTAGTTCTGGAAGACACAAGGAAAGGAAAATCAAACCTGTATTGGACCAATGCTGTCCGTGTTGTTTTCTGCTGTCTCTTTCGTCCTGCTCCTGGTATCTTTGATTGTCTGGTCGTATCTGGTCAGTGCAAATCTCTGCTCAGCTGGGATGCTCTGAATGTAACTTACCCTTTACCAACCGGACCTTGAAAGAAGTACTCTTGGTAATTTTAATAAATGTGATTGTGTAAGAAAGGGAATGAGTTCTAAGCTTGTTTCTTTTTCAGGCGTCATTGGGTCAGTCACGTGTACTTTACTCTTAGGAGATCTTAGAGTTCTCTTTTTCCCACATCCTTTCTTTTTCCACCAAAATCAGCCAACCAACCCTGAAGGACTCAATCTTTCTATTCGATTAGATTCCTTGCCTAGTCCAGTAAGGATGGTAATTACTGCTAACGAGTTCCAAATGGCATCCTACCAGAACACTAATGACACATCAGAGCATTATTTTCCTTTATTTTTTTTTGTATTAATCCTGTAAAAACTGAGGTATTTACAATAGATATTTGGCCAGACAATGTCTTAGTGAAACTGTGATTGAAGTTTAAATCCCTTTCTGCTCAGCCACGTACTCAATCTGCTTTTGTACACTTGTCTCCCTTTAAAACCTTAAGATATTGCTTGAATGAGATACAAAAGCAACAGGCAAATGTGTAAAGTTGTGGGCTTTTGTTTGTTTTTGTGTGTTTCTCCATCAAGAACATACATAATCATAGAGCCAATGAGGCTGGAAAAGACCACTATGGTCGTAAAGTCCAGCCGTGAGCCCATCCCCATCGGCTCGCTGACCGCGTCCCTCAGTGCCACATCTCCACAGCTCTGCAGCACCTTCAGGGACGGCGGCCCCACCACCTCCCTGGGCAGCCTGTACCAATGCATTACTGCTCTTTCTTGGAAGAAATTCTTCCAAATATCCAACCTGGACCTCCCCTAAAGAAGGTCTGCACATCTGCCAGACTCAGAGCTCAGCACTCTTCTGCCCCATTGCTTGTGCACCAGCACCTGCTTTACAAGTGACTCTGTATGAAATAAACATATCCTGAACCAGCATCAGAAGAAGATTGTTATTTTTCTGTTTAAGAGGTGGTGAAATGACATTTCTGGCAGAAGCTGTTTATTGTTTTGCCATAATGCTAATGAACTGAAATCTTCTCGTAATTATGATGCTGCCATATTAGGACCTACTGTCAAACTGATCTTTATTCCTAGAGGAATCTTAAGATCTTGGTGCAGGTATGTCCCATGTAACTTTTGGGAAGAGAAAGACGCCTTGGCAGGTAAAGACATGCACACTGTGTACTCCCCTGTGGAAAATCTACAAAGTTTTCCATGGTTTAGGTGCTGAGGTGCTTTAGGAGGCAGTCTTCATTGGCACAGTCTCTGAGACTTGCTGTCTAGTGTTTTTTCTCTTTGCTAAGTTGATATATTTACTCTTTACCAATAACCAGGGGCACTCTGTTGCAGACTTTGTGCAGCATGGTGGGCTTCAGGGGGATGAATAGATTTTCAGTTTGCTGAGTTGGCAGTGAGACTGAGGAGGGCAATTTCTCCATGTAAGCTGCTTGTCTGGTGTTCTTGTCAGGGACAGTTTTCCCTCCCTACATGTGGGGAGGAGAAATGGCTTGTATAAATTTCAGCAGCATGGAGATGCTTCTATTTGAGATGTGCTTTTGTCAGGTTGGAGCTGGCCTCTCCTTGCAGCCAGCAGTGAGCTGCAGAAGGGAAGCAAGGCAAAGAACAGAGCATTTCTTGAAGACGGGGTCAGTTTTATTTGCTGTGGGTGCCATGTGCACACATCTGAATCCTGCCTCTGATTTGCAGATCTTTTGCTCTTGCTGATGAAGGAAGTCTTAGAAAAACAGCATCTGACTGGGGGCACGAACATTGTTCTTACTATAAGTAAAGCGTTTGTCCCCTGCAGAGTCCCTACAGCCTCTTCTTGTCTTTGGAGCATGCATTTCACCTGTTTTTCAGAAGCCCAGGAATAAAGACAAATTGCAGTTCGTGGTGGTTGCTTTTTTTCCCCTCTTTTTTTTTTTTCTTCTAACTGTTGAGTATAGAAGTAGGCATGAGAATGCTGAGTGGGTATAGATAGGTAGAGGGACCCCTGTCTCCACCCAGAGTCCGTTAAGGCTTTTCATGATTGCCATGAAGCCCACTAACTCCTCCCATTGCAAAATGAGCACTGCTCTAATTTTATTGCAAGCTTGGATTTTTCCTAAGTCCTGAGCTGGGAGCAATCAACATTTTGCTACAAGAAAAGAGCTGGGTGTCAGGGGGATGAAATGTGTATGGGTTGCCTTTAAGTCATAGGTCACAGGGCTTTTCTGCCTAATTGGCAGGGTGCTACTTGATATTCAGACTGCTTCTGTTTCCACTGAAAAAGTGATAAGTTTAGAACTTCTATGCATTTCCTTAGTGTGTGTTTGTTTGGCTTTGCAGATGCTGTGGCCTTTTCCTCTGCAGCTCTTGCATTATCTTGGGAGCTGAAATGTCAGTTCAAGCCAATGCAAGGGTATGAATTGCTAATTAAATACAGAGCGTGCAGCGCATCAGTGAAATGTAAAAGTGTGCGTGAAGCTGTTGGAAGCTGTGTTGCCAAATGGAGAAAGTAGCTCCATTTTAATCGGAGGAGAACTAACACGAGTTGCCTTTTTTCTTTTCAACACAGCGAGTGGCTCAATGGATTCATGCCTGATGATCTGGAGTATGAAACCTCAGATGAGAGCCTATCGCCTTGTGGGCCACAAAGATGCAGTGATGTGTGTTCAGTTTTCCCCTTCTGGCCACCTCGTAGCTTCGGGCTCCAGAGACAAAACTGTCTGCTTATGGGTTCCCAGTGCGTAAGTGTCTGTTCCCTCTGTGTCTCCTTCTGTGTTTAACTCTGGCATGGGATTTTTACCTCTTGAAAGCAGTTCTCCAGGTCTGGGACTGAGGAAAGAAAAGTTTCATGCAGCAGCAGCTCAGACAGAGAAGAGGCAATTCAGTCTTGAAATGCCACTGGAAATGAAATGGAAGCCCCTTAAAAAGCTTGAAGTCACTAATGTAGCCCCTTTGTCCCTGCCCTTGTCAGTCTCTTGTAGCAAACCAATCCTTTGCTTCTCTGCTAATCGAAGGCAAGATGCTTAAACTCCAGCTGGAGTATAGTGATGGAGATAATTGTTCTGTCAGCAGGGTGAAGGTCAGTAGCTTTCAAACCTGCTGTAGTCCATCCAATATTAGATCATTTCTAATCTTTATTTCTTGATCTAAACTAGTAACTTTCCTCCACTGACTGTAAATGATGGCATAGCACTAAAAGATGATTTTTGGACTGTGTATTGACTGCTTTTTGTGAGCTTTCGTGTGATTAATTAGAATTTACTTACATTTTCAGTACTTTACTTGCTCTTCCCATAAAGATTTCAATTTTTGAGTAGAAGGCTTAGTTCCTTTGAATGGCTGTCCAACCTGTTGGCTTGCCTGGGTTGTCCTGAGTGAAGAGGAATTGTCTTGAGCTGCATATAAGATATTTAATATTGTTAAGGTATATAAGCTGCAAAACCTCTTAATTTTTTTTTTTTTATTAAAGCATTAAAAAGCCAAAAACCATAACTAGCAGGATATTTGACCTTGTTTTAGTGGAACTAATGCATCAGTCTGGTTCATTGGAAGTGGTTGCAGTTCTTAGTGAGTTCCTAAGGTGTTCAGCAGAGATTTTTGATGAGATTTTACTCTTTCTGTGTTTCATCCTTGAAAACAGTTGTTCACAAGGCAGGTTGTGCAGCCAGGGACATCTTCCTCTGGTAAGATGGAACTTATAAAGGTCTGGTAAAGAGACATAATCAGATTTCTCTTTCAGATGAATATCTGATGGCAACCCTATACATTCCAATTTAAAATTTGCAGATAATGTATATTATGTCAACTGAAAATGGAGTCACAGGTACACAAAAAAATTGATGATTCTTTCAGGCAATCTTGAAACCTGTTCTCAAATTGCTTTGTCAAAATGAAAAGCAAGGCTGCATGTTTTTTGCTGTTCACAGGACTGTGTTTAGCCAATGTATCTGTAGTGGAAATGCTCAGTCACAACCTGAAGCAGTGTTTGAGCACCTGGTTGGAAAGCAGGGCCAACCCAGGGGAGCTCAGGTGCAAGCAGTGCAGCTGAGTGACTGGAAGGGGTGGAGCCAGGATTCATCCCTTCCCAGCCCTCATTTAAGGGTTGGCAGTGGAGGTGAGGGCATCTCTTGCTGGAGAGCCCTGCCTCCATGAAACCTTCCAAAGGTAAGCAGCTCTTTTCCTTTATTTTTGCATCTATGGCTGCTGCATTTGGGCTTCTTCTCATTTGCTGTAGCCAAGCATTTTGCCACCCTGCTATCATCATAGATTACAGTATTAAAATACATAGTTATTAACTGGAGTCAGCCCTGTGCTGTGCCCACCTTGTGCCCTGGTTTCACCCCAGGCAACGTTAATAGCACACCTTAACTCATTTGTCAAGATCTTGGCAGTCACTGAGAATCTTCATAGCTTCTTTTGTTTTACTGTTATGCATTATTTCATGTGATGTATGAGAACACAAGCAGGAGAGAGCAGAGCTTCTGCTTCAAAACTCAATTTTGCTGCAAGTAAAGCTTTTTGTGGCTGAGATGCAGAAAAGGACCTCCCAGTTTTTCCTCTAGCTTCTTGTGGAATTGTTTTCTTCTTTTTTTCGTGAATGGGCAGACGGATATAAAGAGGTGTTTGAGGTCCCTTTGCTTCTGAGCTTATTGACTGATGTTATTAAAGGTTAATAAGTTGTTTCTAGAACCCAGGAGTGAAGCAGACCTGAAATCTGTGGTAGTAAAATAAAAGGGGTTTAAAAAACAAACAAAACAAATATCCCCCAATTTTAAACCTTCAGGAACCTGCAAAAGCATTTTTAGTTATTTAGGTTTCGTTGCTGGCTATGAAATACCTACTTAAAATTTTTTTGTTGTTGTTGATACATTAAATCATAAGCAGCCTATGTCATGGAGCTGTTAGATTTTGAAAGTGTCTTTTTAAAGATCTGTCATAATGTTTGCTAGGTTACTATTCTCTGTGTCCCCTGAGCTAAGTTAAATTTGTGTCCTCATTTCCATCCACTCACCAGTCATCACAGGATCGCCGAGGTTGGAGAAGACCTCTGAGATCATCAATATTTCCCACTAAATCATGTCCCTCACTACAACAGCTAAACACTTCTAGAGTACCCCCAGGTTTGGTGGCTGCACCACTCCCCTGGCAGCCTGTTCCAGTGCCTGACCACTCTTTTGGAGAAGAAGCATTTCCTAACGTCCAACCTGAATCTCCCCTGGTGCAACGCAAAGCCATTCCCATTTGTCCCATCATTGGGTACGTGAGAGGAGAGGCTGACCTCACCTCACCACGACCTCCTTTCAGAGGGTACTTGTAGAGAACAGTGAGGTCCCTCTGTGAGCCTTGTTTTAACCCCTTCCTCCTTCATACCTAGTTTAAAGCCCACACTGTGTGCTCCTGTGCTGGAATCTGTTTTCCCCCTTTGAGACAGATGAGACTCAACTGCAGCCATCGGGCCAGGTGCCAAGCAAACCACCTTATGGTCAAAAAAACCTGCCAAATTCCTGCAATTGCACCAGCCTCTCAGCTACCAGAGATGGATTTTCCTGGTCCTTTCAGTATCCCTTCCTGCCACAGAAGGGATAGAAGAAAATACAAGCTGCATGCCCGCTCTGTCCTCTAACTACCCCAGTCCCCTGAAGTTCTTTTTGGTAGTCCTCAGGCTTCCGTCAGCAACTCTATCACTGCTGGCCTGAACTGTCAATAATGGATAACAAACAGAGGGGTGAACCAGACAAGGAAGTTTCCTAGAAATAACCCTGACCTGGGTGCTGGGGAGGCAGCACACTTCCCTGGAGGTAGGATAGGGCCCTCTGATCCTCTCAGCAGGGAGTCACCTATGGCAGTCATCCTACTGTCCTTGGTGGAGGCAGTCTTGAGGTATGGAGTCGACCTTCTCACTCTGGACAGCCTCGTGGCTGGACCTCCCACTGCATCCTCACTCACCTCCCTCAGGTTCCAGAGCCTCAAACTATTATGTTGGAGCACCTGGGGAGCTGAGGTAGGTTGGGATGGGGGTTGCCTGTGCTGTCAAGCTGGGAAAACAAAAATGAAGGGACTGCCATACTGGAATGATGCACAAAGTGGAGGGAGCAAGTACTGCCTCCAACTCCCATGCCCAACAGTCCACTTAATATAAAGTCCTCTCATAGAGGAGGTATCAGAAATTAAACTGCCAAGATATTAAAAGGCCAAGAAGTGATCATGGCACTCACCTGAAACTGATGCCTGAACTCTTGTAAAAATTCCTAGAACTCACTTTGTATTCTGAATGAGTTACATATCTGAGGCAGATGTGTCATTTTCAGTTGACAAAAGTATGACCCCTTCTAGTGTAAATCTCAGTGTATTTTTTAACTGCAGAATTATTACAGTGATTCATAATGATGTAATGACTACACGATAAATACGGGAGAAGTTTAATGCAGTTAAAATTGAATTTGTAGTAAAAAAGAACAAAAATATGCACATTATTTAAATTACAGTTAACTTCAGCTTAGTTAAACTTTCCTGAAGTAAGTGATTGCAGTGGCATGTCAGCCTGTATGTTATTTAGAGACACAAGGTTAATTATGTTTGATAAAATTTTAAACCTTGCAACTCATCATTCTGGAGTAACAGAAGAGACTCACAGTGTCATTCTGATGTTCCAGAGCTGTACTGCTCACTTTTTATAACACTGGAGAGGAATAATAGCATGGAGCAGTTGAGCTAGAAAGGACCTATGAAGATAATTGAGTCTGCTGTCTGACCCCTCCATGCTGTTTGTAGCTTTTTGGGACATGCATAATGTTGGCTAGCTTTCAGACAACGGGGGCTTCCCCATGCTTTTGGTAAACTGTTGAGAGGGTGCCAGCTACAACATCCACTGACTGCCTCAGCCAGTCGAATGAATTCCATCAGAGCTGATGGACTTAGGTACCACTGGTCTTATACAGTTTTGGTATAGATGGAAACAGGTGGAAAGTCACTGCTCTGCCAGCCACTCACAGGTTTAGGCAGCCCACACTTTATCATTGGTGTTAAAAACAGACACAGAAACTCATTAAAGCCTCTGCCTTTTCCTCAGCCTTACTTGTTAGTGACTGTCTTCATCAAGTTTCAATCCTATGTTTTCCTTTCTCTTGCTGTTAATGTACATTAAAGGGTTTTTGTTGTTTTTTTCTTCTAACGTACTCTGGCCAAGGTGAGCTTTGGCTTTTCTTGTGTTCTTCTCACAGGTGTGAACCACTGCTTTATCATCTCCCTGTGAAGCCTGACTGTGCTTCTGGAGTTGATATATTTTCTTTTCCTGTGCGCGTTCAGGGAGGAGTTACCTGTGCAGCCATGCCAGCCTTCTGCCCTGCTTGCTTGACTCGTGGCACAGTGGGATTGTGTGCTCCTGGGCTTCTAGGCACACCTCAGTCTTCTGGAGAGCCAGTTTCCAAGGGACCCTGCCTGCTATCTCCCTTATCAGCTTGAAGTTTGTTCCCTTAAAGTCCGGGGTGGCAACTCTTCTATCTTCTCGTTACACCAAAAGTTTTGAATTCCATTTTGTGACCGCAGTGGCTGAGAAGGTACCTACAGCCACGTCTCCATAAGGCCTTCCCTGTTCTGAAACAACAGACCCAGGAGGGCCTTTCCCAGTTGTCTCTCTCAGCACTTGTCAGAGGACGTTACCTTCACTACGCTCCAGGAATTTCCTACACGTGTTTGTTGCAGCAGTGCAGTGGTTCCAGCTGATGGGAGATTTCAGCTTCCCATACAGAAGGATGATTTGCACAAGCTTGTTACATTTCTAGGAAGCTGTCATATAAATAAAAAGAGTAGGGGGGTAATGGCAAAACTGAACTTTAGTGATGCTATCTTAGTAATTTAGGGATGATCTCTGTGGACTGAACTACATCTATGGCTGTCGTGTCAGAAAGGTGCTAGTGTGACAGGCAAATTATTGGCATATCAGTTGTGAAATATCTTGGTGTGTGGCAGCTTTAATATGTGTTTATTTAGGGTTCTTTGTTAGCTTGTTTTCTTTAGACATGACTGAAACGAGGTGTTGAGGTTGAGTCAGGTTTGTGACTTGTTTGCTTACTGCTTGTTGTTTAGAATTGTTAAAGGGGAGGGAGAAGCCATAGCTTGGTCTGTTTGTTGGTCAGGACTTTGTTTCTGAAGAATCTGGGGCCTTGTAGTTGCTTTTGAGAAGGATATATTACTAACTGAATGCTACCCTGGTTGTGGATTTTTCCTTGTTTTTGGGGGGGAGGGAAGCCATGTTAATGATTTTTACAATTTTGCTTCTCTGCTGTGAAATTTTACCAGATCTGGGAACGTTCTCTGGTTCTGTACAAAAGGAAAACTTCACCAAGAAGAAATCTTTACTGTTCTTTGCCTTCTGACAATTAAAGATTAAATAAAACTTGGAAGCTTTGACCTTTCTGAAGAGGGTGGGGGTGTTGCTGGGAAGCACGTAGTGTGATTTTCTGCTTTTCGGTTTCAGTAGTGCCGGGGAGCTCAGCATATGCAACAGAATCCATTTTTCCAGAAGACTCAGAAACATTTCCAAAATGCTGGGCTGCTAAGGAGAATGGGAGTAAAACATGTCTCTGTTCTTTTCATTGCATTTGTGATAGTAAAGAATACATTGTGCATGCATGAGACTCTTACTGAATGTCAGGTAGTTGCCTTCTTGGCTTTACCTGGATGAGCTGTAGAAACACCTCCGGTTTTACCTGCATTGCAGTGAAGGTGCTGGTTAGCAGTAGAGAATCCCAGCCACTCCTCTTGTGTTGATGGTTCTGTGAATGTTTTAAATAGTTGCACAAATTAACAACAGCATTTTTGCTCCTTTCTGGGGCAGTATTGCAGTAGAACAACTTGATTTAGCTTTGTGTTCTGTACAGTTTGTTTGGGTTTGGCCAGAGTTTTCTCTCTAGTGTCAAACATAAATTTCCATAGAAATAATGGTTAATAGCACTTCATAGGCACACAGAAGCTTCATTACAGTATCTGAAAATACGTCTTTCCTGTGCTGCTCTGAGTGCTGAAATGTTCTTTCCTTCTATATAGCAAAGGAGAATCTACTGTGTTCAAGGCTCACACAGCAACTGTGAGAAGCGTTCATTTCTCCAGCGATGGCCAGTCCTTAGTTACAGCTTCTGATGATAAAACAATCAAAGTGTGGACAGTTCACAGGCAGAAGTTTTTGTTCTCACTCAGTCAACACATAAATTGGGTCCGTTGTGCCAGGTAAGTACAGTGCTCTGGTGGTGGTTTATCCTTCAAAGTAGAAACTGAGCATTGTGGTCTCATATTCAGATGTGTCCAGTGTCTGAAATGTGTTGTTAACCTGCATAGAGAGGCCTCAAATAGCAGTTGTGTAACCATTTTATATTTCTTTAGTGATCTTTCCCTCCTAGTCCTGTCTTTCACTTTGTATCAGTCATGAGTTCCATATCTTGAATTTACCAACAGAGGTAAAAGAAGGATTATAATATAATTGGTTTTGCAGCTTGGTTGCCTTCAGTCTTGTCATGCATCTATTCAAAAAGGGTCATGGGTGCCTCATCATTAGCACTTGGTTAAGAATACTTACAATGACACAATAATAACCTCCAAGAATTTTGGTGCTTTGTGTTACTCGTTTCACACATGCAGAGAGTTCAGCTGATGATCTTTGCTTTTTCTGTGATAACAAGCAGGTGCACAGAATGCTGAAAGGGCTGCCATTACGAGATCATCATTTCCTTGTTACTGCCTCAAAAAGCCAGTTTTCAGTGATCTGTCATAGTTCTGAGGAATTTTGATGTGTGGAGGTATTTAGGATAAAGCTGCAGATTTGTATAAGTGTGATAATTTCAGTAGATACTTTCATGGTGGCAGTGGTGGCATGGTGACCTGTAATACTATAGATGTCCACAGCAGAGTAGGTGGGATGTGTTCTCTGCCATGCACGATGTTCTTCACTTAGACTCAAGTCCTGATCCTGTATTATATCTGCCTCTGAAGCTGTGTGTTGATCTCTTATATTAAGCTCCCATCTAAAAATTTTACATACGTTCATTTGATGCACGAGAATGATGAAGCTTCTCCTCTAAGAGCTGTTATCTTGGAAGTAATTACGTTGCTGTGAGTAGTTGTGGCAAAAGTAGGAATTGTTTTGAATCATGATAGAGAAACAACTTGAGATACATTTGAAACAAGTAGGACAGGGGACCTTAAGTCAGACTGAAGACTTGTCTGGAGATGATGGAATGCACTTCTGGCACTGGGGATAGTTCGAGGGCTTACAGGTTGCTTTTTCTCCCCCAACTTCTGACAATTGGATTTTCATTCTAACTAATGTCAGTGTGGCTTCCTGAAGGATGAAGTGTGTTTGCAGACTGACAAAGCTGGCCGAGTCCAGTTGATCCCGGACACCTTTAATTTTGATACACTTTTAATTGCCATAACTGTTCTCCTAGATTCTCTCCTGATGGACGACTAATAGCATCAGCCAGCGATGATAAAACTGTCAAACTGTGGGATAAAACTAGCAGAGAATGTATACATTCCTTTTGTGAGCATGGGGGGTAAGTACTGCCAGGGTGTAAGGACTGGCCTGTTGTGATTGCTGAAGTGGGGATGTGATGGATGTTCATCTGTTTTTGTTACTGCAGCTGGAGATTCCTCCCCTGGAAATAATTTGCACCTCTTAGGAAAACATGAGTGCCTATTACAGAAGGCAGCCAGAGAACAAAATGCAAAAAGAGCATCCAGAATTGCTCTGATCTTGTCCTAAGTTGAAGTGAACTAAAAGCAGAAATGCTTTGGATGCTTTGTTGCATCCTCAGAGTGACAAAGAGTTACTCAAAAAAAGTTTCTTTTTTTTTTTTTAGTTGTCAATTGAGGAGATTTTGTTTCATACATTAGCTGCACCAAAAATTAATTTGTCAAGAAATACAAAATGAGCCCTCGGAGTACTGAGATGGGCCTGTTCCCAGCTTCTCAAGGGTCATTAATTTTACCCAATTTTGTGCAAGATGTTCTTCACTAAAATTTTTTTACTGTAGTTTTGTGTTTTAAAAAAAAAAAAGAAGAAAAATGATTGCAGACAAGTCCAGAAAGGAAGCTGGTCTCTACTTCACTGTCTTGTTAGTAGCAGCATGGGATTTGAGGCAGAAATTCAATTCATTTCTATCTTTAAAATTGTTTAAGACTAATAATGGAAAAATACAAAATCTGTGTTCATTTTTGTATATACTGATCTAGAAATACTGCTGAATTAGTGAAGGGCAGATATTATGTAGACATTTACACTTCAAAATGTTCTATGGTCAGGTCCATGACGTTTCAGGAGGTTCTTAACACCTGCAGCTCCTAACACAGCAGTGATGAAGAGCTTTGGGGGCAGTTATTTTGAGCTACGGTCTTGCAATCTGCTTGGGTTTATGAGCTTGGTCCTAATGGAAATTTGCCAGTATAGAATTTCAATTTATTTCCTCCTTTCCACAATGTTCACTGATTGTGATGTAGTTTTCTTTCCTGAAAAGCCAACTTCTTGATCTCAACCAAAGCTGAATATAAACAGTTGGATTTAACTGCAATTTGCAGGTTTGCAAATCACGTGGAGTTTCACGGCAGTGGTACGTGCATTGCTGCAGCTGGTACAGATAACACAGTGAAGGTGTGGGATGTTAGGATGAACAGACTCCTCCAACATTATCAAGGCAAGTTAAGATCTTTGAAGAACCCGACCTGTCCGTGTTTTGGTGTGGGTTGTCTGGAGTTCCAGGAATGTCTGTCTTGCTGTTTTTGCAGGAAGGTTGTGGCTTAGGCCCACAAGGGGAAGCCTTTCCTTACCAGCCTCCTGCTTTGCTTTCTTCTAGCTCAGAGATTAATTCTTGGCTATTGATAAGAAATGCTTTTGTTCTGGTTTCTCTTTGCTCACCAATGGAAAGGGGAAAAAAAGCCCTGAATTGGAACTGTCCCATGTTGCAGGTGTGCTTTGGTGATACCTGCTGTGCCACTTCGCTTCTGTTTACTTCAGGAAATGATGTGCAGTAAAAAAGATGTGGCATTTGCCACCAAATTAAAAACAAAAACAAAAAGAGTAGCTTAAGTTCATTTATCCTTGGAGCAGCTTAGCTTTATAATTAAGAGGCTGTATTTAATGTTTTTTTTTCACCCTTACTTTCAAAACTACCTATTCTTGTCAGATGGATTAGTGCTGTTATTTGGTAGAACTGTGTACTGATAGCAGACCTTCCCCATCCCTACAAGCTTCTTTGAGCTCATTTTACTGTTCTGTGCATATTAGTTGAGCCTAAATTCGGCTGCTCTTCCTTTACCGTTGCTGATTTGTACAAAAAGAGGTTGGTGAGAAGAAGGAGCAATCTGCAAATTTTGGAAGCCTTCAGTAATTTTCTGTGTATAGTGGGCTGTTCTGCTCTTTGTATTTTGATCACATAATCTGACTGTTGTGCACTGAACGTGACATCATCATCACTGATGGTTTTCTTCTTGGGTTAAAATTACACACGTGTGTGTACACATATACATGAATGCACATGCACACATAAATGTGTGTGCATACACAGTATTCCTCCACCTGGATTATGTTTTGTCTTGGCTTCTAAGTTTAAGCTCACATTTCCAACTGTGTTGTTTTTTCTTTGCATGCAGGTCAAACAGCATTTGAACTGTTCAAATTTTAAACTGTCTGAGCATCTCAAACTCTCGTCCAAGGTTGTTTGTGTGTTACTTATTCCCGTGGTTGTTACTGACTCAATCACTTCTGGTTCTGATAGTTAACAATCTCATGGAATAGAGCCTTTTGAGGATTGTTGTTCCAAATCATTGTCATCGTACCGGCTACATCATCAGCGCTGAATGCTGATATTCATCTTTCTTATGCATCGTTTTTGCTGTGCTGCTCCTGTTGTGAACCTTACCATAACTTGGCAGTGCCTTTCTGAGGTCTTGCTGCTAACACAGGCAGCAACTTTAAGTACCTCAGTGGTGTCAGGTTGTCCCGTAACCTACTTTATCAGCTTTTCAACAGTGACAAGACTTGCAGTGCTTTTTTCCAGCCATTGTATCCTTTGGCTCAAAAAATGGTCCTTCCTGCTTTCCCCTTACTGCAGGTAAATTGAGTGTAATGTGGTTTAGGTTCAACTGCCAGGTTCACTTTTGTCTTGGAGTTGTGTACTTTGCCTGTTTCTTACCCTTACTAAATAGCATTTTTGGCTGACACTCTTTCTGTTGAAGAGATCTTTTCCTGTTATGAATGTTTTTTTAGCAGCTACTGTGCAAGTCCTCATAATGAATTAAATTTTGAGCTTAAACTTGTGAAAGCAATGTAACGTACAAGTGCTGTTGGCTGTCACTTCATCCCCCGATGCGAGTGCTTCAAACTGATGCGTTCATAAGATGAGTTTGTGAATTCTGCTCTGCGAGGGGTTTCACACGCACCTTCTGGCTAAACCTGACTCAGTTTTGTGGCTTTCCCAGGTGGAGCTGCCCGCCCAGTCCCACTAGGGGGAGTCTCTTTCCTTTGTGTGTGCTTAAGCTGCCTGATTTCAGGGGAATCCATTTTAAATACGCGGTTGCACTGAGGACTTAATGGCTCAGCAGCCCTGCCGCAGACTCTTACGTGTTGAAGTCTGGTTGTTTTCCAGAAGGGGTAAGTCGTTTAGCTGTGCTGCTCCTGTTGCCAGGCCTTGTTCCAACTATAACATTTGCAAAGGAAAATTGGATGTGGAGTGCAGACTGCAAAACTTCCTGCATGGTGTGTGTTTAGAAAAGTAAAGGTGCTCTGGTCCCATTTGCTGTTCAGAAAAGTAAACAGATGCTTTACTCACTTGCCTAGGTAGCGCTAATTCTGTTCATACAGCAGGTCAACCCCTAATTAAAATGGTCAGTATTTATTACCTGCAGGCTTTTTTTCCTGTGTGAAGGTGTGTGCAGGGCATTTCAGTTGCACGCCTGTGCAAACAGCCTTAACCTAGTTATTCATGGCTGGTTCAGAGGAGCTCTTGGGACACGTCTGCACTCCAGACAGAGCTGTGTGGTGGATAGCAGCTTCTGGGCTTGTGGCCGTGGCAAGTGCTTACTGGGGTTTTTTTTGCCTGCTTGTCGCTACTTCTGTGTATTCAGTCCTGCATGGTGAAGTGACTCAGTGCTCAGCAGCTCACCTGTAAATGCAGTGATTGAGCAGGACATCCGTTGCTGAACTGGAAGTTAGTTTTCTCAGGCTCTGATAGCTAGAGTCACCTTGTAGCAGCACGGCTGTGGGAGGTGCCACCTTGTGCTGCACCCCAGATATTGGTTACAGTGTGAAATTGCTGTGTTGGCCAGCTTCTGGGGAAGCTGTTGTGAATGCTTTTTTGGGAGGTATGAGTTGGTGTGGCAGAAGAAAGATGCGGCTTTCCCTGAGCTTAGGCAGACAAGAGCTGCTTAGGCAAGAAGCTGTGACTGCCTCCAAGGGCTCAGCCTGTGTTACTTCTTTCCATGATGAAAAGTTTTTTTCACAAACCTGGAAATACTGCATTGTCTCTCTGGAACTCCAAGGTTATGTCATTCGTTTCATCTCTTTCTAATTTGGTTCCAGTTAGGACTTGCTTTTGTTGACATAATATGTGCTTGCTTGTATCTGAATATAGGCAATGAAGGGCCGAGGGATATTAGAAATTCCTCAGAATAAAATTTTCCAAGGAAACATGTATTTAGTGTTCTTCTAGAAGCTAAAATTCCACATATGCTTTTTGTCCAGCCTGACATCATAATGGGTCAAGAGGAAGATGTAGCTGTCTGTTGCAGATGGTGTTCACCTACGAGAAAAACTGTGGAGAAGTTACCAGTCTTGTGTTTAGATGCTTTTTATCAGTGTGTTTTTTCAATCATGCAGCTCAAGAGGAACTGTGTTGTAAGGACTCACGCTGAGTTAGCTGTGTTTGAGACTTTGAAAAGCATATACATTCAGCTTCACAGTTGAGTGAGATTTTCTTTGGATTCCTTCTTCACATTCACACGTAGGTGTGAAAGAATTGATGCTAGTGTCTGGAATTGCATTTTACTTGTTCATTTTTAACAGGCAGTTTAGATTTGTCATGTACATCAGACTGCTGAGGGAGCATAGGTTTAATTTGGAGGTGTTGAGAAGGGGTTGTATCAGTAGTAATAGTTTCAAGATGGAATATCGTAGGGCAGTTGGTGTAATTAAGAACAGTTGGGTGGTTAAAATTCTCTTCAAGCATAGTCTTACTATTGTACATCACGTATGTTTAGAAAGCAATGGAGAAATGTCTTGTAAATATATATATCCACAATAGTTCATTTTGTAAAAGGCTGGGGGAAGGAAGTTCTGCATTACTGCAACATCAGGCATCTGCCTCGTACAGAAGTGTTTTTTCCTAGAGCATTTTCCTTAGCTCTCTTCAGAACGACTCCCAGGTTTCATGTTTGTTCAAAAAGGGCTGCTTTATTGAGTCGTGGAGTTGTAGCGGCACCAGGGTTGGACAGGATGGTACTCCTAACAGTTTGTCCACTCACTCTGGTTATTTTAATTTTTTCTGTGGTAGGGAATTGGATGGCTGAAGAAGTAATGTTTGTATTGGACCGTTTTCAATTGGGTTGGTTCTTTTTTCCTACTTCTTGCTAAACCTAGCATTGGTTAGAGTCAGGGAGTAAATAAAGCATGATAATTACAAACAAAAGCAACCAAACGAACACTCCTGCACAATACCAATGTGAAGCTTGTGTTTCATAGGAATTTTAGCCTTCATTAATATATAAGCTTATAGATTCTATTCCAGAATTACTCGGGAACAAGAACAGCAGCTCCCCTGTGGTCAGATATGTCAGTGTCCCTGTGTGTCACAGAACTGTATAACTCACTTGTGAATATAGTTACATTATAGGAGTACACTGGAAGCTTTTATAGTCTTAAATCTCAGAATAATTGGCAAAGTTTCCTTTTTCCTCTCAGTGAAGTAGTGGCTGTTTTTACAAGAATTGAATGCTGCCCTTGTTCTCCAGTGCTTTGAGGAGTTTGGTGGAATGTTTTCCCCTTGACAGTTTTCCTATTAAACTTTGTAACAGACATTGGAGTGTGCATGTACTTTATTTTCTTCTTTTGCCTCGGGCTGATGTAAACTGGTCTCGGTGATCATTGTGTGCATCTTTTACATCCTCAGTGCACTCCGCTGCGGTGAACAGTCTGTCCTTTCACCCCTCTGGAAATTACCTGATTACTGCTTCCAACGATTCAACTCTCAAAATTCTGGACTTGCTCGAAGGAAGACTTCTGTATACTCTTCATGGTCACCAGGTGAGGAAAAGCCTTCTGTGTGAAAGCACGGAAACATGCAACTCGCTGGGCCAATCTGTGCTCAAGCCTTGCATTGTTTGTGGCCAAAAGTCTTCGGAAAACTTCCTTGCTTATTAAAATAATAATGATGATTATAATGAAAACCTTTGAGATCATCACTGTTCTGGAGGGAAGGCGTAAGGGAGGTAGGATGGGAGCAGACAGAATAGATGATGACAAAGCAGGATGGTCTGAGTGCTCAGATTCTGAGCGTGAAGCCTGAGGCCCAAGGGACATCACCAGTGCTGTGCTTCAGCTCTAACACTGCTGTGCAGTCTGTGTTCTGCAGATCAGACCCCCTCCCTCTCCCTGAAGAGGTGCAAACAGCGCTTGGCCTTCTGACCTGATGAAGATATATGCCGTTTGCCTGACAGTAGGTGTGAAACAGAGGAAATTACATTTTGAGATGTCATTTGGGCGCGTTTCCATTTTGTTAACTGACTGAATTAAATAATTGAAGGTGATAAATACTGCCAGCTGGTTTGGCTGATTGAACTGTTAGTATTATGCTGCCGGACATGTTCCTTGTGAAGTTAATTATTATATGAATGCTTGGAGCTCTCATTTTAAATACATTGATTAATTTTATTGTCTGTTCCAATTGGGGCTCAAAGGCACAAATAAGCAAATGTGTTTTAAGGATTCATTTACCGAAGGGACAAAACAAATTCCTAACCCACTTGTCTCTTTGTTACATCGAGGCTGAGTTTTGAAGCATCAAAACTATCTGAGTAAAATCATGAGCCCTGAAGCTGCTGGATTGATTCTGGGCAATAGCAACATCTGTGTAAGCTGAGGAACTGATCCTTCTGGTTTCTTGTGGCTTTATGCCTTGTGATTGCTTTATCTGATATCTAAAAATCCTTGAATTCATTCAGCAACTTCTCCTTAACTTTTGTTAGTAAACTTTTCTCCTTTTTGTGGTATTAGTGGGTAAATACAACAAGTTTGTACTTGAAGTTCTGCCTCATGGAAAGATCTGATTTTAAACTCCCTTGGTCAGTTTTTATGCTGAAAGGAATGGAACAAAGATTTGGAGAAAAGATAACAAATGCTGCATATCTCAAGACATAAACTTCAACTGCATAAAACTTTCTTCTTTGGAAAGTGGTGAGTGGGTGCTAATATCAGATGGGACTTCAAAGCTTTTGCCTATTGTTCTAATCTGATTTTCGTATTCGTCTCTTGTTGGTGAAGCAGAAGCTTAGGAAGTAGTTTCCTGGAAAAGGGTCAGTGTGGAGGGAGAGTGGATCTTTGTGCCTTTTATACTTCTCCTAGGAAGCAATGTGGATGGTTATTGTTTGTTTGGAAGCTGAACCTGCTTTCCATTCCCTCCTCCTTTCTGAAATGTAGGCAGTTTAGCTTTGAATGAGAATTCAACGTGGATTATTGCCAACCAGGTCCTCAGAATGAGGTAATAGAAAGACCCTCTGAAGTCAGGGTTCCTACAAAACAGTTGTTTCTTAAATCATCTATTCAGATGTGGGGTTAAAGCCCCTTGATTTTATTTGATTTTTTTCCCCTGTTGTTTCAGATCCCTCAGATAACAGCCATCACTCTCTCCTAGCCATCTAACTGATGCTGGAAAGGCTTTGACAGCAGCACAGCTAGCTGCTGTTGTGGGGTTGTACCTCTTCCATTTTGGAAACAAGCAGAAGTATAAAAGTGGCAGACAGTGCTTTCTGATCTTAATGTAATACCCTTAAAAGAAGCTGAAATAGAAATAGAACCAATCCTGGCATAATCCTGGGTTGGCTTTCACTCTGCTGATTACTATTGTGAGGTTTTTAATTTGTGATTTTAATTTGTGATTCGGCAGATGTATCTTACTTTTTCACTTAACGAGCATAATAACCTGTTCTTTGTTCCCAGTGTTGGTGTATAAATGTGGATTTTTTTGATTCTCAGGGCCTTTTTCCTCCAGTCTCACTGTGATTTCTGCCTGCATCTCTAAAAATGAAGTGGGTGTGGATTTTTGTTGTTCTTCATTGAGTAGATGTGCTTTTTCAAGGGAGGGCTGTAGGTTAATCACCAAATGAACAGCCTGTTCTGAAGACATTCTTGAGCTGTGACTGTGTGGGTGACTGTGTTGGTCCTCAGTTCTTATTCTGGCAGCTGACTGCTGCTGTGTTGTTCTGGGGAGGCTGTGTGTGCGTGGACACTTGCAGGGCAATGCCTTGATGTCCTTTTTGTGTACTATGATGCAACTGTTGGAGTGCTGGGAATTTGTTACCAGCTGATTAGCTGTAGTTTACATGGGGAGGACAGCATTGCTGTCTCTTAAAGTTGTGATGGAGCTGGCCCTGTTGTAACAGAAGGATCATTAGAGGCAGAAGTTTGCAGCTTGGAGCCAACATCTTGCAGCTGTGAGATACCATCCTGTTCTGTTCTGTGTATTTCCATTCTAGCGTGCTTCAGGCTGTAAAGTCCTATTGCCTGAACTCATACAGATGAGACACTGGGTTGGTATGTAAGTCCATCTCTGGCACTGAATCATCACGGAGGAACACAATGTTTTGGAGCATCTGGGTAGTTGCTAGAGAGTAGCAGGTTGTAGAGCATTTCCAGACAGCTTCTGTAGTGGCATAAATATTCCTTGTAAATATTTAGGAAACGGGGCTTGGTTGTATGTACAAATAGGAGGCCAGAAAATAAATTCTCCCAGTGACTTGAACAACCAAATAGCCGCATTCCACCTGCCTGGGTGGCATGAGTGCTCTCGGCTTTCCTGGTTGACTTAAGAGCAAGATTTTCTGAGCAGTGCTCAGGAAATGAACATGCTGCTTAACTACCAGCTCTTGGTGGGTGGCATTAAGCGTCCATGCAGGCCTCGCCATCCCTGGAGGGTGCAAAGACATTCAGGGTTGCAGAGAAGTGGATCAACCCGGGGAGAGAGAGGGGTTATGCATTATGATAAGCATTTGGCTTTTGATAAGCATTTGTGAATATTGAAAGGAAACGAGTGCTCTGTTCTTCCCTTGCTTGTGCTTTCTGTTGGTGGTTTGTTGCTTTTTAAACTGGAGCTTTCAGGAATCTAAATAAAATATATTAATTACAAGGTGCCAGTATGTTAGGGAAGCAGAGCAGATTTCCCCTGTGCTAAGCTGTAACACACCTTACTCTATGCTGGGAAGGGGCAGGCTTGGCTTTCTCACTCAGTGTAGCCGGGAAAGGCTCTTTAAAACTCCGTCCATTGAAAATTATTACAACTGGGGGCATTTAGCATGAAAACATGCCATTTACCTTTAACACCTCAATCCTGTGTGCTTTTCCTAATTTCTCTTTCCCTTTCTCTTCCTTTTACTTTCGCTACCACTGTGTAGTTTTTAAGAATCCAGTGGTTTGTGTTGCAAGGATAGGCAATACAGATGCCACTTGAAACTGGTTTCTGATCACTCAAGAAAGGTAGCAGTCACAATCTGGTAACAAAGGAGCCACTTACCTGTTTCAGGGCTTGTGAAACATTCCAAAGGAGGCAGTGTCCAAGTAGAGATACTTGCCTTGCAGCAGCCAGCCTTTACATGAGGTTCAGGGAGCACGGGGGCTCCCATCTGTGCTTCCAGAGCTGGCTGTGCCCCATCAACAGGTGTTCCATCCCTGGTTCAGGCTGTGACCCAGCAGTTCCTGTGCACTCAAGCCCTTCATGGTATGAACCAGCGGTTGAGTGTATGAGGGTCAAACTGTCCTTTACAGTGTAGCACATAATTGCGGTCCCAGCAGAGATACAGTTTGCTGTGACACTGTGTTATAAGTTCATGGGCTCAGTTTTTTCCATGAAGAGGCTGCTGTTTTCAGTTCTCTGTCCTTCTGGCTTGTTTGGCAAAAGATGTTCAAAAAGTCCATCGTTAAATGTCACTGAAGAAGGCAATGTCATGTAATTCTTCAGTTACACCCCACCTCCTGCTGCTTCTGCCTCTGTCAGTCATCTCAGGGGAGCTGAAGAGGTGTTCAGTGGGTGCTAGGAGATGCAGACCTGTCCTCTATGGCAGACCACGTGCTGTATTCCTGTACTGCATAAGTCTCTGCTTGGACAGGAGCACGTCAAGGCCTTTTGTACCACGTCCTCTGGCGGATGGTTGGATAATTACCTCAGGTACCAAAGGAGGATTCTGATCTGTTGGAGAGATATAACAAGAGTCCCCTTCGTGGTGAAAATTGGCGTGTGTATCATAATTTCTGATGGCCATATGCCAGTTACTGGTGGTGTTACCGTTCCTCTTCTTTCTAATATTCTTCCCTGTGGTTCGAGTTGTCCACATCAATTTGGCCCTACTTGCACTTCCCAAGACCAGCTTACCTTGTGGGTTCCAGGTTCTAAGGGGCAGGGACCAGAAGGTTATTTATCATTCCAGCTTGGGGTTTCAGTCACTGTCAATGGTTTAAGGGCTGTTTTGGCCCAATTCTGTGACTGGCAGGGTGGAGGGATTCACAAATCCATGCTTGCGGGAAGGGGAAACGGGACCTCAAAAAATTAAAAACAGCGGCAACAATCTGAGGAGAAACAAACTGATTCACTAAACTAAATGGAATTGGAATGCAAGATAACAAGCAATATAATACAATATAATTAGAATTGAAGGTAATGAATCAGATCTAATGAGAGAAAGAGTAAAAAGCTGTAGGCCTTACACCAGTGCTGCAGTGATGCATGCGGTCGGGACAAGCAGCAGTGAGGAGAGCCAGAGGAAAAAAAAAAAGGGACATCAGGTGACCTTGCCAGGAGTTACAGCTCCTCTCTGACCACAAATACCCTGGGGTATGTAGTTCTGCTCTTCCAGACAGGTGCCTGGAACTGGAGCATTAACACTTTAGCTCCCAGAGCACTACATGATGCTGTGATGTGGAATAGCAATAACCAAAAACCATAAAACCACAACTGTCATATATCACTGCCCTTAGTTTGGATCCTAAGCTGTTTGTAACATATCCAAGGTGCTGGATCTGTCATCTTCAGGTGTTTC